GGACGGTGTCTTTTTATAAGACTTGTTGCGTAAGCCTTTGCTCACACAGGTCGGAAGAGATTTAACCACTGGTACCAAGTGAGCCTTTAAACATATCCATCCTTATTAAAGCAGTAAATTTAATCTAACACCATGAAAAAGCAATCCCACTGCCACCCAATCCCCTCCGTTATATGAAATGTCTCACAGATGAAAATAAAGCCTCTGTACTCAATATCATCCTATCATTAAATCCTACATCCTCACCTGATTACATTCCTATTCATGCCTCTATTATTCTGCCATTATTGTTACTTCTGGTGAAACAGGCCAGATAATGTGCATTCAATCAGGAGCTGCATAACCTGCTCATTCCCCATCTCTGATTCTTTGTTGCCATCAAATGTGTTTTTCAATGAAAAGTGTGAGTGCTGTGTAATTATAATTCTGGGGGTATTATGAAATCAAATATCACAATGAATGTAATTTTATTTGCTTGTAATCTCTCTCACCCAGGCTAATAGGCATTTTCAAAGGGCAAGCTCATGGGGGTTTAAACAGCCCTTGGATAAACTGAATGGCTGCTCTGCTCTCTTGCACTGCATGTGCTTTTGTCTTTGATATGCAGGCAAAGAGCTTGACAGTCTGGGAGACATGAGAGATTTGTCAGCCTCTGATCTCCATACCTCTCTGACAAATGAGTGCCTTTGGAAGGAATGCCAGTGGAACCTCTTCTATGCCCTGCCATGGAATTCTAACTCTACTGGATCTCTTGGGAAACAAGTCAGGGCACACGGTCAATCTGGAAGCAAAGAAAAGGTTAAATCTGCATATACAACAACTGACACTGTACATTTGTGGAGTGCATTTTTACTCAAAAAAAGACTTTATATGGTTCCAGTCTAAACAGGGTAAAATTTACACTTGGAAGAGAATAAAATATTGAGAGGTAATTTTACTCAAACTATTGGATTGATTTTACTCCAAACAATTAAAATCAAACTTAATTTGATGTGAATATTGATGAGAACAAGTTACTGACCCACATTTTACACTGATGAGAGCCTCCTAATTTGAGTGAAGATTTACTCCCGGTCTAGTCCATGGAAAAAATAAAATTGGAGTGATATTTTCTGAAAAAGCATTGTGTCCCCCCCCCCCCTCAGAAATTCTCAGCAAATTTTACACGTTCTAAACAGAAGTCTAAAAGATAAGAGGAATGACTGACACATGCTGCCCACTTGACCCACAAAATGGTGCTTACACGTGAACCACTGACGTTGATGAATACTGTGTACAGCATATTGCTCATCCTCAGGGTTGCAGTTGAACAGAAGCCAATCCCAGCTGTCTTTGGGCGAGTGTTGGGGTACACCGTGAACTGGACACCAGTCAATCGAAGGGCTCAGCCAAAAAAATAAAAAATTCACACCTATGGACATTTTTTAGAGTCTAGCACTCATCCAACATGCATGTTTTTGCAGTGTGGGAAAAACCAAGGGAGGTAGTAAGATGATGAAATAATAACAATTAAAAATTAATACAAATGAACACAAATAATAATACAGAAAATCCAGAGCAACGATTCAAACTCCTGACCTTAGATTCCAACTTTACTATTCATTCACTCATTTTCCAATCAGCTTATCCTCACAAGGGTCGCAGGGGGTGCTGGAGCCTATCCCAGCTTTCTTCGGGCAGTAGGAGGGGGACACCCTGAACCGGTTGCCAGCCAATCGCAGGGCACACAACCATCCGTGCTCACACTCAACACCTTAGGGACAATTTAGAGTGTTCAATCACCCTGCCATGCACGTTTTTGGAATGTGGGAGGAAACCGGAGTACCCGGAGAAAACCCACGCAGGCCCCGGGAGAACATGCAAACTCCACACAGGGAGGCCGGAGCTGGAATTGAACCCTGGACCTCTGCACCGGGCCGCCCCCAACTTTACTATCTCTCTATAATTTCTCTTCCTTCTGTAAGGGGTGCCTGGATCAGAATATTTGACAAACCCTGTTGCAGAAGCTGGATAAATCGATGAATGGCAGTTTCATGGGATGACTTGAGAAGATAAGGAAAAAAAGCAAATAGTTGGATGTAGTGTACTGACTGTTGAAAACATCAATTGCAAACATGACATTAACAATATGTTTGTTTGTATGTTTGATGGGTTTTAGCTTTTGTAAAACATAATGTGCCAACTATCCATTCACAGTTCATTCCAACAAAAAAGTATTTATACATAATCTGTCATGCTTTAAGAGGTAAATCTTCCGAGTAATATCTTAACAAATGTGCATCCTTGAAGCTCTACGCTTTTCTCTGGGCTTCCCACAGAGCAGGAAATGTAGGTATCGATTCTTGGGTTTCCAAATTTCAATCGGAGAAGTCTTAAAACCACATTGCACACAAAAGCAGCAGGATTGCCTTCCCTCCAAGCGTCAAGATGAATAGGAAGAACAAGCACTACCCCTTGTGGACCGTTTGCACCAGTGCAGCGTGAGTCACTGGCACCTCCAGCTGCTTCTGGGCCCCTCCTGATAAGTTAACCTTGTGATAACAAGCTAATGCCTGATTAATGTTGCAGTAATTAGACACAGCTTTTCACACTCAGTTAAGAGGACATCCTCCAGCAATTAGCCTCAACTAGAGAAAGATCATTTCTGAGAGCACAGTCGAGTGATGTTCCTCGGCGTGCCTCCATTCCCACTGGGCGGCATTAAGGTTTATTTTCTCATTATTGAATATAATTACCTGTTCGATGTTCTATACAGCTGCCACCGCCAATCTTTGATCCAATTAGAAAATGCTGATGGACAGATTGGGTGTGAGATTCAAAAAGCTGCATTCTTATCAGAGGATGGATAATGGTTTTGCTGTTTAGCACTGAATGCCAAGTGAAAATAGATTAATTTCCCTTAAGAATACATTCTGAATGAATGGCACATCCTCATGATAGTGTGTAAATGTGTGAGAGAGTTTATTATTCGTGCACGTGTTTGCCCACTAGACAGATGATGAGAAGTCCCTTTTACTGACCCCTCACCACACACTCCATAAATAATGCACGGACATTAGATAGGGTGTTTGCTCTGATTCGTCCTGCATTAAGGGACTGTTTACTTCGAGTTACACGTTGGTCTTTGTTTAACGAGAAAGATAAGCCTACCTCCAACTGTATTATGAAATGTCAGATCCCATAAAACTGGTTTCGTAATTTCTTGCTAACTTGTTTGTTCTGTAATCAATCGTCATGGTAGATGCACTGAGATCAAAACAGGTTTTACATCTAACAGTTTTCGTCATGGTGTGACAAACACGTCAATAATTCAATAAATTATTGATGATGAGGTAGCTCAAATCACAATGTTTGATTGTCTTGTGAAAAGCAGAACAGTCGTAACACTGAAAATAGTCCCAAAGTATTTGTATTTTGTGGTAAATGTAGCCAAAAATTATCAGCATTCATCCTAACAGATCGAAAGTGCAGAGTAGGTATACTTATCTGGTCAGCTCAAAGCAATTTGGATTGGATCAGCCTGATCCAGAACCAACCTTTTTGGACCAGATGTTCAAAGGTAATCTGACCGGATTTTGGTTTTCAGATTGCATTCCATCCAGCCATCCATTTTGTAATCCGCGTATCCTCACAAAGGTCGCGGGTGTGCTGGAGCCTATCCAAGCCGTCTTCGGACAGGAGGCGGGGTACACCCCGAACTGGTTGCCAGCCAATCGCAGGACACACATAAACAAACAACCATACACACTCACCACACTCACTCTTAGGGACAATTTAGAGTGTTCCATCAACCTGCCATGCATGTTTTTGGAATGTGGGAGGAAACCGGAGTACCTGGAGAAAATCCACGCTCGCACGAGGAGAACATGCAAACTCCACAAAGGAAGGCCAGAGCCCGGAATCAAACCCTGCACCTCTGCACTGTGAGGCGAATGTGCTAACCAGTCACTCCCTCATGAGGATAAGCAGACCAGAAAAGCAATGGATCGAAGTCTGGATTTAAAATAATCATAACAATTCAAATATGATAATAACACTGGTCAACATTTTTCCATTTTTAAATCAGGGATGCAAGAAAACATTTCTAGAAGAGTGTTTGCACTGATTCCAAATCTGCCCTTGATTGTCTGCTAACAGATCAAGTTTTCATCATCATCATCACTGGCTGGCAACCAGTTCAAGGTGTAACCCACCTACTGCCCAAAGACAGCTGGGATAGGCTCCAGCATGCCCCGCGAGCCTGGTGAGGATAAGCGGATCAGAAAATGAAGGGATGGATGGATAATAATTATCATCATGATAATAATATGCAATATAATACTGTAATATATTTAGTCATATTTATGAATGGAAGTTCAGCATCAGGTGGAATTGTTTTTTTTTCTGGAATGGCATAAATATAAAATACAACACATGGTAAAATCCATTTTGCAAAGTTTTATAGGTTAAAAAACAACAACAAATGAAAATATGTCAAAACCTGATGTGCTTGGGAAAAAGTAAAGATTTTATTTTTTTTAATTCGTGTCATAACAAAAATTGTTTTGGACACATAATGCCATCCCTGATTAAAATTTGCATTTGACTAGTGCATGTTTTAATTCTGTCACAAAGATATTAGCTCGCTTTTTGCTGTTTTGTTTATCACTATAGGTTCGATAGTTAATTGTTATAAGTAACACCAGAGAATTAAGGCCTAATATATTTTTTTCCAGTGCAATCAAATGAGATAAACCAAATCATTTGATACAGCTCTCAGTGTTGTTCTACACCACAACCAACTCGTCACAACATCAAAAAAATATTGTAGAATGAATGGCGAGTGTGTCATTGTCATTGCCCTGTTAATATTAATATTTATCAAATGCAAAAAGAGAAAAGCCACGGAGAACTATGGCTATCCTATAACAGAAAGCACAAACCATCGTCGCAAACAGCCGCTACTGTTTGCGACGATGGTTTGTGACGTCGTGGATTTGCGGGTTGGACTACAAATCCCAAGCATCGCTCCTCTTCGGCTGCTCACGGTAACAAAATGTCAACACTGCTTGGCAGGAAGTGGTGCTTGGTCCTTGTTGTAACGTGACGACCAGTTGAACTAGTCGACAGAATTGTTGGGACAACAAACTCATCTTTTGACGGTACAGTTACATTTTCGGAATATGTATCACTCAAATATTACGTTACGTTTGATTCCCAATAATGAGACGTCATGGATGGCTGCTATTGTTAGCAAACGCCGTAGTTTCCTCGTCCGATCGGAGTTGTCGGTGTGAGAGATTTGTGCTCACCGCCGCATTTGTAATTCCGACACATATACAAACTGTTTGTTTCGGTTTGGGATAATATTTTGTTTTCTCCAGTTTGTCACGCAACAAGGTGCAACTTTTTTGGGCTTAGCAAGTGACGTCATGGAAGCTTGCTGGGTTTCGATATGATAATTTAGCGTTTACAAGTGTTTCGGTTTTGAATTGCATGGGGCGGATTTATTAAGCTATGTTGAATGAAAATCGTATTAAATCGTAAAAATCGTTAAGACTGTATATTGCTGGCTGATGATTATGATTTCTGATTTTGTCTGCACTGTGCATGAATACCAACAACGACCCACGTAACCCCGTTTTAGTTCCGAATATCGGGAGATGGACAGTCACAGAAGGGGAACACCATGGGGAAAGCTGGTCAAAGTGGATTCCAGTGGAACTGAAGTGCTGCTTTTCAACAGGGAATGCACCATTGGCCGGAAAAAGGGTGAGAGTAGCCACTTTATGTTAAGGAATAACTGGTTTGCTTTAAATATAACACCAGTATTTCTGTTGTTTTGCTTTGAATGTGCCCATTGTTGTCTCACGACAACTGTCTATAAAGCAGGCATCGCTTTCAGTGTCTGAGGCCTTAAAAACTTCCCCCCCTACACGAAACAAAGCTTTCAGTCCTGCAAACTTAGACAGCCTCTTGTGACTATAACAAAAGGCCTCCATTTTGAACATGTGTGCAGAATTTTAATTAGGTATTTTTTTGTATGGGTCTGTATTTCATTATTTGTTGTTAAAGAGCTCGTGGGGGTCTGTGCTTTTTGCTATGCAAAATGTCTAGCCTTAATTGGAGAAGCAATGTCTGTGCTGGACATAGTTGATAATGAAATGCCTGCACAGTTTTGGAAAAAGTTGATTTTATTGCTGTTCAGCTTTTCATACTGATTGTTTTGAGAGTTATCTCACTTCTGAGGACATTTACAGTTAATCTTCATTTCATTCAATGTGTTTTTGTGTCATGTTGTAATTGTGACAGGATGTGATTTGGCCTTTCCTGCCAACAAACTGGTCTCGGGGGAGCACTGCAAGATTGTACAAGATGAAAACTCAGGACAGGTGTGGCTTGAAGACATGAGGTATGACTTCTAGTCAACCATTTCTACTTCACAAGAGTAGAAATTGAGCAATGTTTAATTTTCCAGTTGATATTGGATAACATTTGCTTTACTGGCAATAATGAATCCAATGACACGTGTTTCCCAGTCACAGCTTTAGATAAAAAGAATAAAAAAAACAGTATTAAAAAAAAAAAACTGTGATTGCACTCAGGAAAGCACATACCTGCCAAGTCCAAACAACATGTTATATGATTTGTTTATAGTTTTCCAACGATATGTGTCATGTATATTGTGGTTTGAATTTGTAGTATTTGTAGTGATGATATTTGTTATTACTATAATTTGTAAATAAATATAATTTGTTATTACATAACTGTAAATTAACACTCAGTACAGCTCCCATGAAGGTGCTATTCAGACTCCGTTGACAGTGGTTCTGACCACGTATAATGGCATTGATTTAAAAAATATATATATATACAGTATATATTTTTTTAATTAAGTGGTGACACAGTGGATGACCGGTTAGCATTCACCACACAGTTCAGAGGTCATTGGTCAGAATCTGGGCTCTGATCTTCCTGTGTGGACATCTTCTCCCCTCGCCTGCGTGGATTTTCTCCTCATACTGCGGTTTCCTCCAATGTTCCAAAAACATGCATTTTAAGTTAATTGGGGGCTCTGGATTATTATGAAGTGGTAATGGTTGTTTGTCAATTTGGCAATGGATGTTTCTTGTATTTATTTCTTCTTCTCCTCCTACTGCATAACAACAACAAATTCTCATGTTTACAACACATCAGATTGTATGAGTGTAGGTAATTAAGTTACGAAAATGCTTGACAGCAGCTCTCAGTGTAGTATAAAATGACACATTGACAATACCGAATAATGACAATAATACCTTGACGACAATGTCAATCAAAACTGAGCTTTATTATCTTGCCCGTAAGGAATTTTAGAGAAAAACTAAGAAGTCATTTTTTGAGCTAACCTTTTGTTCATCGAAAAAGTAATCCAATTACTTTGTTCACTGACATGCATATATTTGTTTCCCTTTTAGCACCAATGGTACAGTGATCAACATGGCCAAACTGGTCAAAAAACAAACTCATATGCTTCAAAACGGTGACGTCATCTACTTTGTATACAGGAAAAATGAACCTGAGCAAAGTAAGTTTTTTTTTCCACTGTATTCCATATTTTCTTACTTTTTGGATTTATAACAAGCAAAAACTGACAATATGTTCTTGCAGACATTGCTTATGTATACTACGCAATCCAAACAGAGCACGGTGTTTTGCAAGATGATCACAGTAAGTAGTTAAAGTGCTGATGTGACATGCTGCATGTCTGCTGAGAATGCCTTAAAGTAACCATCCAATTTGCAACTGAACCTCAGACTTGTCAGTCCACGATCCCGCTGTCCTTGCATCCTCCGAGATGACGCTGTCTGTGGAGCCTGTCATGCTCACAAAAGCTCCTCGGGATCTAAATCGGGAAGAACCTCAGCCGTCCACCTCTACTTCCCACCTCTGTTTTGAGCAACCTTTTACACCTGGACTTCCATCAGCCAGTGCATGTCTTAAGTCTGGTGGGTTATTTTACTAAAATGCTCCTCCAGCGTACTCCCGTGTTCCAAAACAATCATGTTATCTTAATTGAGTACTACAATTGGGTATAGGTGTGAATGTTTGTCTGTCCATACCCTTAGATTGAGCATTACCAGTCTAGGTATTGCTATTTTATGTGTTTATTGAACACAGTGTCTCACTTCAAATGTATAGGTAAACTTGAAGGTAACGTGTTTATATCATGAGGGAAGCTCAGATTAACTTTTTTAAAGCAAGTCCTCATTAAATCCGAATTTGATATTCTGTGTAAATCCACTTGAAGACTCCTGATTCAGATCAGATTTCATGTAATTTTCTCTTCAAGCGACTAACAGTATACTAAGTGGGCTCAGCTGGGGACAAAACAATTTTTCCTGAGGTCTAAATCCAACCTGAACATAATTTGAAAAGATACCAAATTAATGGAACAACAGAGTTTATGTTTGACTGAAGATTTTTTTTTTCTCCTTTTTCAGAAAATTCTCTTATTTTCGTTTGACATGATCTCTCTGGGTTGATGAATTGAGCCAAAAGTAGCTCAACTGTATCTTTTTCTACCTCAACAGGCAGCCAGTCGAGCAATGTGGCCCAAACACCAGAGAAAGCACACAACGATTTGGAGCCAGAATGCAAGAAGAGAAAAACTGGTGTGTTAGTTGCTGGCTTTTGTCCTCACATGCATACAATCATATAAAACTGTCCTGTCAGTTTTTGTTCTTAATGAAACATATACTATACCTCATGCATATTTCTATCCACGAAGACTATGTTTATTAATCCCGTAAAGGAAATTGTCTCTGTCTGTATATGCCTGGCAAAAGGCAAAAATACCCACATGTCCAAATAGGAGCATTAATGTAACACTGTTTAATTGTTTAATTTCAATTGGTTGTGTCACATGGAAATGATTTCTTGATTCTGTGACCATGACAAACTAGCTCCATTTATACCTTTTTTGTTTGTTTGTTCTTTTGTTTTTTTTTTTTGTTGAGAAGGCAACATGACCCGCATATAAGTTATCACTGACTTTATTGTATTTCCAGAGATAGAACCCTCATCCGTCATACAGACAACATCATCAACTGGAAGTGTTATGGCTCAAGCACCAGCAGAAGAGACCAAGACGGATAAGATGGAGGAATCTCTGACATGCATTATTTGCCAGGACCTCCTTTATGACTGTGTCAGGTAAAACCCCAACAAAGGTGAGGTTCGTGTGCCAAGTACTCATTCATGGTTTCTCTTTCCGTTAGCTTGCAACCTTGCATGCACACGTTCTGTGCTGCCTGCTACTCTGGCTGGATGGAGCGATCTTCTTTTTGTCCTACGTGCCGCTGCCCTGTGGAAAGGATCCGTAAGAACCACATCCTCAACAACCTGGTAGAAGCCTACCTCATCCAACACCCAGGTTAGCATATAGTACAATTAATATCGCTGTCTTTCATCTTAGGGCCCGACTGATAGGGATTTTTTTTTTAAGCTGATTCTGATATTTGGCAGAAGAAAAAAAGTATAGATTACATAGTAATCGGCCGATTAATTTTAAAGATATATAATCCATAATGTATTTATTTTTTGGTTCCCTCTATATCCAAATATAGCAGTTTCCTGAAAATTGTCTATAATCATTTTCCGTTTGTTCATAAAGTACATAATTTGTATAGAACACACACAAAAATGAATTTAAAAAAATAAAATGAAAGACAAATATCCAGTGGCCAAAAACAGCCCCGTTCATATGTGGTTGGACAACTTTTCAAGAAATACAGTGAGGTGCAAAGAATAACAGTGAACAGAAAAATTATAATCAATACAAATAGGACAGTCATTCAAGACATAGTTGAACAAATATAAAGAGAGAGGTCAATAAAGGGGGGGGGGATAAAATGCAGACAGAAAAAGGTTATGCTCCATACAAATGTTGACGGAATCAAATTCATGATATCATACATGGCAATTTTCCGCGGATCCGCGGAAATCCGCCGTTTTATT